GCTGCGCTTCAGCATCTAAATTTAATAATGACAAAAGTGAATTCACTATCATGCAAATATTTTCCCATTACATAAATTTACAATAATGTCTACCATCTTATGCACCAGTTGGATTATTGAAATTGATAGATTGTTGAAAAACATCAGTTAATACTATCAGGGGATACTGCATTACATTAGCTAAAAAGAAAAGCAGAAGAGAACTTGCAATGCACTTGGTGCATAACACATCAGTCCACTTACTCGGAATGGCATCAGCTACATCAGTATTCTGTTGAGGTAGTGGGCCTAATTTCACAACTGAAGCACCATGTTGTACATTGCTTCCAGAGGCAGAATCGTTCCTGCCCTGGTTCAGTAGGGGCTGCGCTTCAGCATCTAAATTTAATAATGACAAAAGTGAATTCACTATCATGCAAATATTTTTCCATTACATAAATTTACAATAATGTCTGCCATTTTATGCACCAGTTGGATTATAGAAATTGATAGATTGTTGAAAAACATCAGTTAATACTATCAGGGAATGCTGCATTACATTAGCCAAAAAGAAAAGCAGAAGAGAATTTGCAATGCACTTGGTGCATAACACATCAGTCCACTTACTCGGGATGCCATCAGCTACATCAGCATTCTGTTGATTAGTATTCTGTTCATTAGACGAATTAATATCTGAGAAATTAAAAATAATTAAAGATGATTTTCAACACAAAGTTTAAATACACACATACATATATACTTTAGTCCGCCCACCCTTTAACTTTTGCCTTTCATGCAAATCAATGATAAAGATATTTTACTGAAACTGATATACAAAATAGTGGGTATATGTATCCAAAACCTCTATTGTCTTCAAAAATTGCAATTAGGCCTATGTATATGAGATGGGAAATTTTAATATATTCTAGAAGTCCTCAAAAGCAAACTGGCATTTATTGTTTTAATCACAAGCAAAATTCCACAACACACCACGCAAAGCAATTCTTTCTTCATTTTGTCCAGACACACCATTATCTCCATTGGTATCTGTTTTAAAGATTAAATAAGAACAAAAAATACATGTGTGTTAATCCTGCAAAATCTTTTTTTTTTTATATTACTATATATCTTTGAAATATTTTTTCTGGTCTATTTAAATTCCAATTATTATTATTTATTAGTATGATTGATTCCAGTATACATGCAACAGCAATTAAAATAATAAATAAAGTTTTTTAATCCTTAATCTTTTGTATTGTATGCATAACTACTACTTCTTTAGTCATTTTTAAGTCTACAACTGAAGTAAATTGAAAGAACTGTTTTCCTACCTGACTGCGGACGTTCATTTCTATTATCATTATGGTTACGTCTGTTATCTATATTTGGAAAAAGAACAAGAACACTAAGATACTGTTACTCAGAATAAATAGTAAGATTGACTGATAGCGAGATCAAGAGGGGGTTTTGCTTTTCATCAGTACAGTAATAAACAATTGCTAGAACAAATAGTTATCATAAATGCTTAAATTTCAACAAATATGTGAGATTAATTTAAAAAAAGTTAAAAATAATAAAGTTTGTTAATCCTTAATCTTTAGATTGTTAGAAATATTGTTACAGTATATACCTTGATTATTATCTGGTGGTGAAAAACAACTACAGAACAAAATAGTGTTTATCACATAGTTGTTTTTATTATCTTCATTTCCTAAAAAAAAAAAAGCACAAAGATTTGTTCCAATGTTAAAGTTTTTACTTTGTTTGAGAAGAAAAATATTATGG